CTTTCAATTAACATATTATATTTTTAATTTTTTTCCATCTTTTTTTGTACTAATTAACATATTATATTATTAGAAATTTATTTGAATTATATTATGAAATATTTGTAATTGACTATTTTTCCAAGATATTCTTTTTGGTCATTTTACATGTTTATAAGCCAGTGTTTGTTAAAAATAATTTGTTCATCAACTAGTTATCACCTACCAGCTAGCTTAGCACTTAGTTTGCCAAAAATAACTTAAGTTAGTTTATATACCAACCTATGTATATCCAAACATGTACTTAACAAAAAAGTTAGTATATGTTTGTCGATGCCTTGGATGTTTAATTGTTGAGCAAACTGGGCCGTTTACCAAACGCATACCCACTTACCTGCAAAAGACGTCACCATCACTTACCTTAATCGAATAACATCCTCGAACATCAAAATGAGATGTTGGTAACATATTAAACCCGATAAATGATAAATGCTTACTGGATAAGAGTATTTTTCTTCACTTCGGTATTGTTTGACAGTTGTTGAATGATTTGATGCAGAATAATTAAGTGGTCAGAATAATTAGGATACTCTTATAATATAGTGCAAAATGAAATATAATTGTTTGGTAATTATTCAGAATAAAATTAGGATACTGAACGATTCAGGGAGGCCCAAGATATAAAATCATTCAAAGGGTTTTAGAATCATTAAGAGACAACTTTTTTTTTTTACCAAATAAAAATTCAAACGTTGTCTTAATAAAACTATAAATAACCCTCACTGATATTTAAATATCACTTCACCTCCTACTGTAAACTTAAAGGTCAGCGCCTTTATCCGCATAACTCTTTTACCCTCTTTATCTGCAGTAATTGATCCCATGATTACTGAATTAAGGGGCGTTTACCAAATGCTTATTTGGGTAAGTGAATATTAAGTCACATTATCTTATCAGATGAATATGGTATGAACCAAAAATCTTACCCAGTAAGAGCGAGACAAGTACCAAGACTTTTATCCGGTAAGTGAGAGGGACGACTCTTACCATGGTAAGCGCTTACCCGGGTAAATTGTTGTATATGATATCGTTTTGGTGGATTAAAATCTTACCCGATAAGTAAATTATAATGTTAAATTATACCGATAAACGCTTACCGGGTAAATAATATTTAGTAAACGGCCCCTGACTCAGTTCCAGATATCTGTTTGTCTCCAATCTCATTCAGATACAGTGATGGTTTTTTCCCCCCTTTTTGGCCACAACATACCAATAGCTGATGGTTATCCCAACTACGTCTAAATCAATGGTTCAAGCTTCTAACATATCTTCACTCAAACTGTGGATAGTAAGAAGTACTTAACTTCACTCAAGTTCTCATTTTGCACAAGCCGGAGGTTTTCACATAAACAACCACTTTACTATTCGGATAAAGTTCAGGTCCGGGTACATCCCCAACCCCACCTCCGAGTGGGACATACTAGGTTGTTTGATATGGTTACGTACACACATACATATCAGGTAACTAGAAGTAAAGCAATTACCATCAATTGGACTATGCAGATACGGAATGGACTGCGCCTACTCATGACGATCTTAAGCAGAAAGGTATGATCTTCATTGATATGCATATGGTGTTTATTTTACTAACGAGCTATATACATGAACAGGTGAACTTTGACATATTCTTCCTAAAAGTTGCAATGCTAGACATTGTTTTAACAAGAAAAGCTGTGGAGCAGTCTGCAGATGAAGGTAACCCCTACTTGGTGTATCTGCTGCAAGTAGTTGCAGAGGGCTTAATCGAGATGATACATGCCAAAAGCATCTACAAGAAAGACTACTCATTGTAGTCAATTTGATCACAATTTCAGAAATATATTCTTTCTTATATGTTGGTTTACTAGAAATTCTCTTGCACTTGGAAAAATCGTTGATGATGACAATACCAATGTGATTGCTTTGGTATTTATTAGAAGACCAGGTCCTCATTCCATCCTCCCACATCTAATTTTCTGGTATTTTCAGAAAACCAAGACCTCTTTCCATCCACAACTAATCGAGTTCAATGGGTAACGCTTCAGCCTCTACGCTCACGAGTTCTCATGGGGATAATGCTACCAGCTATGATGACTCTACTATCATGACCTCTCCTGGGGATAATGTTGCCAGCTATGTTGACTCCAGTATCATGGATTCTTCTCGTGGGGTTGATGCTACCTGCTATGATGTCTTTCTAAGCTTCAGAGGCGAAGATACTCGTGATTCTTTTACAGATCATCTCTATGAAGCCTTACAGCGAGCGGGATTTCTCACTTTTAGGGATGATGATGAAATCAACAAGGGTCGAGAACTAAAGCCCGAAATTGAGATGGCAATCAAAGCATCCAAGGCTTCAGTAGTTGTCTTGTCAGAGAACTTTGCCACTTCCACATGGTGCCTTGACGAGCTTTGCTTGATCCTCGAGCAAAGGAGGGAGCGCAATCATTTCGTTCTTCCAGTTTTTTATCATGTCGATCCCTCGGATGTTAGGAAACAAGATAAAACTTTCAAGATACAAGTCAAAGCATTTACAAGGTGGACACATGAGAACGTGAATAGGTGGAAGGCAGCTCTTACCAAAGTTGCTGATTTTGCCAGCATTGTTGTTTCCGGGTATGTTTTTTTTGTTCCGACTTGTTTTTTAATGTTTACTGATACATTTTAACTTCGTTTAATCAAAGAATCCCTAAATATCATTCGCTAAAGCTTACCTTGTGTTGTTACAGGCTTGAAACAAAGTTTCTGAAGGACATTGTTGACACCATTTACAGTGAACTAGATCACAAAATAGTTCATCTTCCGCGCTATCTAACAGGGATGGACATTCGGTATGAAGAGATCACTTCTTGGTTATACGAATCTGATCTCAAATATTTAGTAATCTGTGGCATGGGAGGTAGTGGAAAAACTACCTTGGCCAAGTATATTTTCAATTCAAGTTGGAAAAAGTTTGAAAACATGAGTTTCATTGAAGACATTGGTAGGAAATGTAAAGAATCCCATGATTTGCTTGAACCACAGATACAACTTCTGAAAGATATTTTAGGGGGTAGGGAGAGAAAAATACCAAGTGTTTCTTACGGTACGTGTAAGATCGAGGAGGCCTTGCAAACGAAAAGGGCGCTTATTGTTCTTGATGGCATTGTTGAAGAGAGACAATTAGTCGCTTTACTTGGAACTGGGGAGATTAATCCACGAAGCAAGATCATAATAACCACAGAAAATATTGATAATTGGTTTATGTCCTCACCCAGGTTTCAACAGTATAAAATGAAGCTACTAAATGATAATGAATCATTGGAGCTTTTAAGTCTTAATGCGTTTGGATGCAAAATTCCGACGGAAGGTTTTAAGGAACTTGCAGCACAAGCAGTAAAGTATTGTGAAGGAAATCCATTGGCTCTTGAAGTGTTGGGTTCCTCTCTATCCAAGAGCAATACCATCCCCTATTGGAAAAGCCAATTGAGGACATTGACAAAGGATATCCATTCTCGAATTCAAGATGTTCTCAAAAGGGGTTATGATTCACTGCCATTTGCCTCTGAAAAAGGGTTGTTTTTGCATATTGCTTGTTTCTTTATTGGCAAAGACTTGGATTACGTGGAGAAGATATTGGAGCCTGATTACTCTGCAGTATCTGGGATCAAAACGCTAATCAACAGATGCCTTGTTTCGGTTTCACCTAGCAATAAACTGATGATGCATCGATTGCTTCAAGAGATGGGAAGAAACGTAGTTCGTCAAGAATCATTTAGCCATCCTGAGAAACGTAGCAGAGTTTGGCTTAGCAGCGACTCTTATAAGATCTTGAAAAAAGGAAAGGTAAGATGCTTTCTCTTGTGTATGTTTAAGCCTCCTGCTTTTATCTAGAATTTTATAGCATCATCTTGTATCCTTTCAGGGTTCAGAAACAATAGAAGGTCTTACACTTGACATGAAAATGCTAAGGGAAGAGGAGGAGGCAAAGACATTTGTTTATGTTAGACAGGTTTGTTTTTATAGGTTTTTCTGGAATTTGTTATAACATATTAAATAATATGAATAGCTTTAAATGGCATATGACATGCCCAAATATGACTTCAATTCTACTGACATCATTAAATGTTAAAGAGGGAGAAAACATGTAACTTACTAGGGGAGTGCATCCATTTCTAAAAAGGTATAATGTATGCTTACTCTCTTCATGCTAAATTTGCAGCCATCAGGCCTCTGGACAGATGCACTTGAACTGATGGATAACCTAAAATTGCTCCAGTTAAATTTTGTAGAACTCAATGGATCCTACGAGAACTTTTCAGTAGATTTAAGATGGCTTTGTTGGCTTGGGTTCCATTTAAGAACCATACCCTCTGATTTATTCATGGGAAACTTGGTGGCTGTTGATATGAGCTATAGCAACTTGGAAGTATTTGACCCACCAATGGTAAGAGACTTCCATGCAATATCTGCTTTCTTTGGCTTTTCCTTTTAACTTCTCAGTTTGTAATGGCCTTTATGTGGATAAATCTTGTTACTTTTGCAACAGGTTCTTCATTCATTGCAGATTCTGAATCTTAAAGACTCGCACAATCTATTCGAAATCCGCAACATTTACAAGATCCCTCTTCTTGAGACTTTGATTCTTTGGAACTGTAACAGTCTGGTTCATGTTTGTGAAACCATTGGAGACCTTAATCATCTCACACTGTTGAACATGACAGGGTGTCACAGCCTGTGCAAGAGGGAGAAAAATAATTTGTTAGAAGCTTCTACTTCTGGTAAAGAAGTTACCATACAACCTCCCTTTTCCTTCCCACAGTCATTAGAACGGTTATTCCTCAACGATTGCAAGCTTGAGTGTACTGATTATCTTCCCCTGAGTTTTGATGTTCAACCATTTTTGCAGTACTTGAATTTAAGCAATGGCTTATTTGAGTTCTTGCCTTATTATCACCATCTTATAAATCTTCGTGTCCTTGACTTGACTTTCTCCTCAAGACTTAAATGGCTTTTATGTCTTCCAAATACACTTGCAGAGTTGTACGTATATTCCTGTAAGTCACTGGAGAAAATAACTTTCCAATCACCTCGATTTACGTTGCAAGAATTTGGCTATAGTGGTTGCATTAATTTAGCTGAGATTGAAGGCTTTATCAAATTGGTACCAATAGCCAAACTAGATGAATCTGATTTGGGACACATGAAGTGGCTAAAAGAATATCAAAATCATGAGGTGCTCCTGGTTGGTGATGATGAGCTCACCTTAGGCAGAAGTTTGCATGTCCAGGTTTGTTGTTTCTCTCTCAATTACACATGCATCAGCACACACAAATACACATATTTTCACATGATATCAGAGCCAACTTCTACCACTCTAGGAACTCGACACCAGATGGATCTTTCGAAAAGTAATCTAATGTGGTTCCACATATTCTCACAAGTACACTGAAACGCCACTTGCAAACTAATCATATATGAATGACTGAACTTGCTTCTGTGGCACAGATGTTGTATGAATTCGATATAATGAGTACATCACTGCCGGACGTAGAGGATTCAAACATGATGCCTGAGTATATATCAGAATCACCATTTTTGTTCTTTGATGTGCCTTCGTGCTCCAACAACAAGAGGATCAAGGGATTAAATGTAACTTTCAGATATACATTATCAGGGGATGATGGGGCATGGTTTGCTAAAATCAGTACGGACAATGGTGTTGACTTGATGTACAACCCCAAAGTCTATGGTAAACCTGATTCTGGTGAAGTTGGTATATGGGTTAGCTATTGGCCAATCAGAAGTGCAATAGATGTTGGAGATAAAGTTAATGTGTCTATTGTTGTGCTGAGTGGATTGATGGTAAGACAATGTGGTGCAAGCCTTGTGTATGCTGATGACGAAGAAGAGCATGAAACCTTGGAAAAAAACACGGGCTGGGTAGAAACCCTTGGAGGGAATTTGTCTGGATTCCAACTAAGCACTGGAGCATACTATCTTTGTCGCCGTGATCTATTTGAGTTAATGGAGGTTGGGAGACTTACTCCACACTGGTTTAGGATTTTATTTGGCGATACCATCGACTATACAGGTATATCCCTCTTGTTTGGCTAATTCTTGGCGTTTGTAATTGAATTGTTGCTGCAAATAGAGAGTTCCTCCTTCCTCTTATTGCACATTGTTACAGAGGTTCAAGGATGGAGAAAGACTGGTCGGCCAAAGCGGTCGAATCCATCATATACAGAGTTGAAGACTGTTAGATGCATTATCCATGGTCCTGAACAGGTATATATATGTATATGCTCCGTAATATTTCTTTCTTAACGAATGAAATAATTGAGTTTTCTTAACCTGGCTATGTTGTATACCAAAAACAAACAGGAAGAAATTTACAAGATCGCAGAGATGTCAAAATCCTCTTTAGTAGACAAAAATGTCGACTTCACATCAAGCATACTTGGTGTCGGGGATATGATGAAATCTGGGACTATATCTGAAATTGGTAGTGCAACAAGAAAGGTAACTGTTTTTCTTAGAGAAAGTGACACAGAATTACTGAAATTTCACTTTGCAATTTGTTTTCCCCTGAACTGTTCTTGGTGTCTCATCTTGAAAACATAATCTTGTTCTTGTTTCTCCTATGATTTATTCAGGAAGAAAGTGAGAGTTACAATCTAGAGACAATAGGCATGTCTGATTCTGATGAGACTACAGAGTCTGCTTTAAAGGATGAATCTAAATCAGCAGTGATATATGAAGTTAGTGATGAGGCATCTCTTACAACGGTTGCTGGTTTGAAAGGCTTTAGTGTTTCTACGTATGTTCTTTTCGTTCCTATTAATATTTTTGTTCCTTTACTGATTTGATGATTAATAGTGTTAGTTTATGTGATTTGGTGAATTTTTGTGGGTAATCTTAGCAGCTATGATGTCTACCTAAGCTTCAAAGGTGAAGATACTCGTCATTCTTTTACAGATCATCTTTACGAGACGTTAGTGCAAGCAGGAATTCGTCCTTGTAAGGATGATGCAGATTTCAAAAGAGGTGAAGACGTGTGGGTGGGAATCAAGAGAGCCATCAGAGAATCTAAGGGCTCAATAGTCGTATTGTCCGAGAACTATGCAACTTCCACTTGGTGCCTTGAAGAGCTTTCCTTGATCCTTGAGCAGAGGAGGGAGTGTGATTATTTCGTTCTGCCGGTTTTTTATCATGTCAAACCTTCAGATGTTCGAAAGCAAACTAAAACATTCAATATAGAAGTCAAAACATCTACAAGGTGGACTCATGATAACGTCGAGAGGTGGAAGGCAGCTCTTACAGAGGTTGCTAATTTGGCTGGTCTAGTTCTTCCATTTGATACAAGGTATTTTCTCTTTTCCTACTTACATTTGATTCTTTACTTTAATAGATTTTAAGAGGGTTCAAACGAGAAAGGTAAAAGGTTTGAGAAGGAATGATTCATATGTGAATTATTGGTAAAGGATCTTTGTCGTTGACATATGCATCTTCAAAGAATTATTGATAGGTAAGCAAACATGCGTTCACATATTCATCTTCAAATGGATTTACCAATAATTCACATATAAATCATTGCTTCTTACCTTCTCAACCTTTTTGTATTCCATTTAGTAATTAAAATTTGACATGTATTAGAGGTACTATACATATGGAATGCTAATTATCAAATAGGCTTTCTATTTATGTTTATCAGAAGAACCCTTCAACCTTATATACTAAACTTACCATGTGTAGTTACAGGTCTGAAACAGAGTTTTTGAAGACAGTTGTTAAGACCATTCTCAAAGAAATAGATCGCAAATAGTTCACTTCTTCTCAATCGAAACAATAGGGATGGAGACTTGATATGAGGAGATCATCTCTTGGTTATATCAATCCAATCTCGACTATTTGATGAATTGGTGCATACTGCATGGGAGAAAATAGCAAGACAACGTTGGCCAAGTTAAAAAAGGATGCTTTATTGTTCTTGATGACATATTAGAATACAACGAGTTAGTCTCTTGGAACAAGTAATTGGTTAACCACAAAGATTGTGGCATAGTGGTTGAGGTCTTGGATGGATGTGATAGGAATACCACATCTGCCCACCACAGGCGTACACAACAATTATGGTCACTGAGTTTATCATGGTTGATTTCTTGCCGTCACAATTTGCCGGGATCACCCTTCCAAAAAAAAACAAAGAATTGGTTTAAGTTCTCATCTCATTGGACTTAACAATGCATATTGAAGTTATAAATGATGATGGATCATTAGAACATGTAAATCGTAATGTGTTTGGATCAATAATTCCGATGAAAGGTTTTAAGAAACTTGTTGCACGAGTATTGCAAAGGAAATCCAATGGCTCCTGATGTGTTTGGTTCATCTCTAGCTGATGCTAAGGGATATTGTGGGCTGAGAAAAACAATGAGTGTGTAACTTGGATAAAACTTGAGGTCGGATGAGAGCTCACTTTTCTCAAGTGATAATTTGGCCCAGATCTGTCTAGGTATCGCAAAATTCACTTGAGGATAATATCAAATATTCAGTCATAATTTTGGCAGAAATTGTTCCTTTTTAAACTAAGATAATCATAACCACTCCTATATTAATGCCAAGAATAACTCCCCATCAGATGGAAATGATTGTTGAAAATTATGAGGGACGGTTACAAATATGACCATTACAAATTAGTGGCAAATCATTAGCTAGATAGAGCTTAATCCAGCTTCAACAAGTTGAACACTATTGAACACATCAATGAAGCTAACACTAGTGAACCTTCAGCAACCTAAATATGATAGAAACATCAGCTAACTAGTGTACCATCACCTAGATAGAGCTGAACACAAAAGCTGATAATATTATGACGAAAAACACATGGCCCGTGAATTGTTTTCTGTTTCAGGCACAATCCGTGCTCTTTTGATGATCAAAAACGCCCAGCCCGTTCACTGCCCTCATCCACTTAGACCCTCGCCATACAAAGTTATCCAACCATCTCAGGTTCTAGCAATGTGCACTCTACACCTAATAACCGTGTTATAACTTAACCACTAACCACCTCATATTCCCCTGTGAATTCAAATACATAAAAATTAACGAATGATTTCATTAAAATCAACAACATCCGATAGCAATAGCACCCCCCATATAGGAAAAAAGTCAATTGAAGGTACTCAAAAAAAAGATATCCATTACCACATACGGGTTAACATAACCCGGTTAGAATAACAAATGGTACCCAGTAAGATAGAGTGCTAGATGTACGTGCATGCAAAGGGGATAAGTACACAAGTGTTTTATGCCAAAAAAAGGTAAATTAGGATGCGAGGACAAAGTAAATACAAACTCAATAAATGTTAAAAACTTACAAATCAGTTTCGCAACATATATGAAACAATGTTTCATATATGAAACATTCAGGATTGTTATGCGTGTGGAAATAAACACTAAAAATACATTTATGTATGAAACAATATGACTTATAATTTAAAACCAAACCCACTGAATGATTTTAATTGGTTTCCCAAGTTTATATTTGGTTATTGATCAAAAGTGAACATATGATTATTTATCAAACATCTAAAATACTTCTCAATAATATCAAAATGGAGGTCTTGTGAATCAAAATGGATGATATTACATTCAAGTCCAACAGCAAAATAGGTAATTTTGGATTACATTATTTCCTAAAACGAATCCGAAATCAATAAACTCTCGCTTTGCATGTATTTTCTTCTCAAACTACAAGAAACCAGTTTGATTAACAAGACCTCCATTTTGACGCACAAGGGTTGCAAGGGTGGCATATAGTGTCTAGACTTACGGTACACAAAATGATACTCTGACATGCAAGGGTCGCACACCAGGGTCGATGCAATGGTCGTATAATTCAATGCAGGACCAGTTTTGCCAATTTTCGAATCTTGAGTGGTTTTCCATTTTCTTGATATAAATTAGGTTGGAAATCGCCATTTGAGGGGGAGAAAAACCTAGGGACAATTTTGGATTATATGATTAGCTTGCAGGTGGTATGTTGACATGTTCGTGTATGGTGATGCATGTGTATTTAAGAGAGCAACAACAAACGTGGACATGCAAGCTTCTGCCTATGGTGACATCATCACCAACCAGGAGCACCTTATGATTTTGATACTCTTTTAGCCACTTCATGTGTCCTAAATCAGTTTCATCTGGTTTGGCTATTGGTACCAATTTAATAAAGCCTTCAATTTCATACAAACTAATACAACCTTCATAGCCAAACCCTGCAATGTGAATAGATGTGATTGGAAAGTTATCATCTCAAGTGACTCACATTAATATATATACAACTCTGCTAGTGTGTTTGGGAGACATGGAAGCAATTTAAGTCTTGAGCATAAACTCAATTCAAGGACCCGGAGATTTTTAAGATGATTATAGTAAGGCAGGGACTCAAATAGACTATTTCCTAAATTCAAGTACTAAAAGAACGGTTGAACACTGAAATGAATCAGTACACTCAATATTGCAGTCGTTGAGGAATAACTGTTGTAATGAATGAGAGAAGGGAAACGGAGCTTGTTCTATGACTCCACCAGAAATAGAAGCTTCTAACATAATTTTTTGCTCTCTTGTGTACAAGTTTTGACACCTTGTCATGTTCAACAGAGTGAGATTCTTAAGTTCTCCAATGGTTTCACGAACTTGAACCATTTTTGCAATACTTGAATTTAAGCAATGGGCTATTTGATATCCTGCCTCATTATGATTATCGTATAAATCTGGGTCCTTGACTTGAGTTTCTGCGAAAGAATTAAATGGCTTCTGTGTCTGCCAAGTACACTTATAGAGTTGTACACTTGTACGTATATCACTTCAAGTCTTGGAGAAAATAACTTTCGAATCACCCTGATTCACTTTGCAAGGGTTCGGCTATGGAGGTTGCATTAATTTGTCTAAAATTGAAGGTTTCATCAAATTAGTACCAATAGCCAAACTAGATGAAACTAATTTAGAAAATTTGAAGTGGTTAATAAAAGATCAAAATCATGACGTACCCCCGGTTGGTGATGATGAGCTCACCTTTGGCAGAAGTAGTTCACATGTCCAGGTTTGTTATTCATCTCTCAAATATGCATGCATCAGCACACAAACACATCAATATACCACCTGCAAATGTATACTATATGAATAACTCGACTTTGTTGTTTGTGTGACATAGATGTTGTACGAATTCAATATAATGAGCACATCTCTACCAGTCATAAAATACATTGTCTTTCTATGTATCAAAATCACCATCCAAGTCCTTTGATGTGCCTTCTTGTCCCAAGAATATGATGCTCAAGGGATTAAATGTAACTTTTAAATATACATTATTAGGTGATGATTGGACATGGTTTGTTAAAATAAATATAACCAATGGGGTTGACTCGATATACAACCCCAAAGTCTTTGGTAAACCAGGATCTTGTGAGAATTATATATGGTTAAGCTATTGGGCAATCGGAAGCTCAGAAGCACATTAGACATTGGAGATACAGTCAATGTGTCTAGTGCTGTGATGAGGGGATTGGAGGTACATGAATGTGGTGCAAGCCTTGTGTATACTGACAATAAAATGGCAGAGGTAACCTTGGAAAATAACATGGGATGGGTAGAAATTCTTGGAGGGGGTTTGTCTGGATTTCAACTAAGCACGGGAGCATACTATCTTTGTCGTCGTAATTTCTTTGAGTTAATGGAGGTTGGGAGACAGATTCCTTATTGGTTTAAGGTTTTAGTTGGTGATGCCATGACTATACAGGTTTGTCCCTCTCATCAAAGTTAATTGAATTAAATATAGAAAACTCCTCTTATCACAAATTGTTACAGAGGTTCGAGGATGGAGAGAGACTGGTCGACCTAATCTGTCGAATCCATCATATACAGACTTGAAGACTGTTAGATGTATCATCCATGGTCCTGAACAGGTTATCTATGTATATGCTTCGTAATATTTCTTTTTTTGGCATGAACCTGTTAGATGAATAAGAATATAAGATGCAGGGCCTTAAATATAATCGCCTATGAAGGGCCTACATATAATTCTCATTGCTCTCCATTCTTATAGAACTCAAGGGTTACGTAATTTATATATTTCTCAAATCCCCATTACCATTGCGTTTTGCAAATTTTCTTTCGCTTCCAAGTATCACATGAGTTCACAGAAGTGAAAAGATTAACTACACCGTTACAATCTAGTTTAATGTTTTCAATATTTGATGTTAATTTGGTTCTGATTATTTTTAACCTGGCCCTGTTGTATACCAAAAACAAACAGGAAGAAGTTTACAAGATCGCAGAGATGTCTAAATCATCTTTAGTAGAAAAAAGTATCGAATTCACATCAAGCACACTCAGGAGAGACGATAAACTATGGGACTACATCTGAAATTAGTGATGCAGCAACAAAGGTAATTGTTTTTTTAGAGAAAGTAGCAGAAAATTAATGAAATTTCACTTATTTTCCCCTTGACTGTTTTTAATGTCTCATCTTCAAAACATATATTCGCTATTGTTGGTTGCTCTTGTTATTTAATTATTCAGGAGAAAAGTCAGAGTTACAATCTAGAGACCATGGGCAAGTATAAAGCAGTTGTTTCTGATGAGACTACGGAGTCTACTACAATCCTACATGATGACAAATCGAAATCAGTGGTTTTTAGGTATGTTTTCTTGTTCCTTCTTATATCTAGTGATTTGATGATTAACAATGTTAATTTGTATGACTGGGTAAATTTTTGTGGATAATCTTGGCAGCTATGATGTCTACCTAAGCTTCAGAAGCGAATATACTCGTTTTCCTTTTATTAATCATTTTCTTGAGAAATTAAAGCAAGCAGGAATTCATCCTATTAGGGCTGTTATAGATTCAAACAGAGATGGAATAGTGATGTCAAGATCCAAGGGAGTAATCAAAGAATCTAAGGGTTCAATAGTTGTATTCTCCGAGGCCTATGCAACTTCTGGTTCATGACTTGAAGAGCTTTCATTGATTCTTGAGCAAAGGAGAGAGTGCGGTCATTTCATTCGTTATTCCAGTTTTCTGTAATGTCGATCCCTCAGATGTTAGGATGCAAAATAAAACTTTCCAGATAGAATTCCAAACTTCTACAAGTACAAGGGGGACGTATGATAACATGTACCTATGGAAGGCAGCTCTTACGGAAGTTACTGATTTGAGCTATCTAGTTTATCCTGGGTATGTTTTTCTTCTTCTTACTTGTATTTTATTGTTTACTAAGATACATATTACTTGCGGCTAGTAGGGATTGTGCCTGCCAAAGAGCAATGATATTGATGAGTGTTCATTAATTATAACAAAGTTCTTAATTAAAAATAGACGAAATAATGTAGTAAATATGATTTGGAATGTTGATCATTGAATACGATTATGATTTAATTGTATCAAATAATCCTTCAGTTTTGGACACAAACTTACCTTGTGCTGTTACAGGCCTGACATAACGCGTGAGGAGTTTTTGAAGACAGTTGTTGAGACCATTCGCAATGAAATAGATCGCAAATAGTGTATTTTCACCCGATCTGACTAACAGGGATGGAGATTTGATATGAGGAGATCACTTCCTGGTTGTATTGGATCAATCCAATCTCGAATATTTAGTCGGATGTCCAAAGCCAAAATAACAAGATATCAAGCTGTATGCAAAGATAAACATAACTTTACACTTCTTAAATGAACAATTACATGCATTTTATTTTGAATGATGTCTTCAAGGTCCTAGCTTAACTTAGCTTAGCTCAGACACTTCAAAAAGATAGACCAACAAATAAATAAATAAACCAACGAATTAGAAAATACTACTCTATCAAAATAGTCTTGCAGAGCGGAAACATCACCATATAGCAAACATTACTCGATCCCTCATAATTTCAAACACTCCTCTACACTTCTGGATTGATGTTCTCACCGCCATTTATTTAATAAATATTCTCCCAACCCGATTCTTAATTGCTCCACTCCCCATTTTCGTCCCTAAGGTACCCATGCTCTAAGGACTCTATCTTACAGCCTCTTAAGGATAGAGTTTTCATTTTGGATTATCCTAATATGAGAATTCGTGATACCCAAGGCTAATAAGGGACAAATTATTGTATTCGGAAAGCGACCTTTTGTGATCAAAGCGCTTATCCGGTCCACATATCGTCTCCAGTTCCTAGTATCTAACAGTTCCATGGAGTGGGGTGGAACACATCTATTCCACTATGTTCCTGTCTGTTCCACATAAAAGTAATGCCAAACATAGAACGGTGATCCCTTACAGTTTTGTCATGTCCAGTATACCAAACGCACCCTTAAGCAACAAACTTGTTCATATCCGTTGGCCAAGTTTGAGGGGGGATGTAAAAGAGAAAGAATCTTCTGATTTTATCGTCTTGATTATGTAACCGTAACAGCAGATTGATAGGATCAGTTCCTCATTTTATTGTATTTATTATGTAATCACAGCAGCAGATTGACAGATCAGTTTGCTATTGTCTAGGAGAATCTTTATCTTGTAATTATGTAGTTTCTAGAAATAGGGCAATCCCTGATCCTTATATATTGCATCATTTGCAATACAATTGAATATATGAAGTATATTTTCAACAGAAGAGATAGGTTGTAGTATGCAAAGATAGGATTGAACTCCCAAACTACTAGAAGAGTTCAACCCAAACAAAACCATGAAACTGAATTCGTTTTCCAAACAGATCGGGATCTTCCAACAAAAGTAAACACATCATATATTATAGTAAGCAAAAACCAGAAATTAGAAGTACAATCCAATAAAATCACTCCCAAATAAAAAAATCGATATAGGGGAGAGATTAAATGAAGCTGGTATAAAATTAAAAAGAACAGCAGGGAAAAACCACATGGAGAGATGGGAACCCACTGCAGGTCATGGACTGCACATGGTCTGAGAAGCGATGATGAGAATTGATCAGAGACAACAAAATCCAGGAAGCCATAAGATTCGTTGCCTGAAAAGCGACCAGAGACAACTGGAAATTAGAAGTACCAACGGTGATGATGATAGATGAAGGGTTTAATTAAGAGAAAAGTGTGAAGGGTTTAATTAAGAGAAAAGTGTGAGCTAAGTTTCTTTTCAGAAGTCTTCAGACATTTTATACCAGAACATTCTGCAACCACGAAAAAAAAATTCACTTAATTCACTTATGTCTAACTAAAGCAGATATAAGTGTGGAATTCAACACTTCATTGGGAAAACACACTACCCATGGGCGATGTACTTTTAAACATCTTAAGGAGCCTCAGCCCTCAAGGGTGCTCTTGAAAGGGGTCTCTTTGACACTAATCAAGGGCACACCTAAGTTTCTGGATGTCATGTCCTTTAGTCGAAGATCCACCATATGATGTTGCATATTTTATTCAGTAGAAATTTGATATCTAGGAAAAGCAAGAAGCAACATGGTAACCACATTGTGAAACCCTTTGTTCAAGGAATCGATATTAGCTTCATTTTCACATATATAGCTTGAAACAATGGACACAATACTACCAACTATTGATACCAGCAAAAAGGAGGTCTACTTGTAAGATTGATAGGATGTCTTTCATGAAACATACTGAATTTTGAGAAGAAAGTAAGACCATTGCCTTCCCTAGTGAAGCACAATTACATGAAGCATATGTTATGATTTTGTGCTACCAAAAACATCCTATGCGACTACGGTATGCAACCAAAGGTCGCTTGAGGCAATCTATATACCCTCTTCATTGCAGCTTTGTAACATTTTTGGTGACATGAGATGCATGTGTGCGACCCAGGCTATACGAGGTAACGAAGTCGCACACAAGTCCTATGGCTATGGTACAGGTTCCCAGACTAGCCACATCGCACAGCCAAGTCGTGTGGAGGATTTTCTTAGCAGGCGAGCAGCCTACTTGAAGTGGAGGTCGAATAGACCTCCAAACGCCTTTTAAACGGGGTTTTGGCCCCCATCTTGTAGCTTCTTTTTGTTCATATTCTTTTGTCTTCTCACTTCTAGAGAAAATCTAGACGAGCTTAAGTGATTAGGGTTTTATCTCTGGATTGGATGATAAAACTAGAGCCGATCATTTGCAGGCTACCAGGCCCGCCTAACCTATTTTGATCATCAAATCTCACACTAAGTGCCTTGTAACTCTGATTTGCTTAATACAAGTGATCTCTCTCTCCCCTCCCCTGTGGATACCGTGGTAGCAAAACCACGTAAATCTTCGTTTTCCATGTCGTTACTACTTTTGCTTATATTGGTTTATATTGCTTGGTTCTTGCTTGTGGTTTCTATATTGTGCTTAGATTGTCATCTACTTGTTGCTAGACCCATAATAATATGCATTTGTTGTTTGTAGTTGAACTTGCACTTGGATCTTGGTTTGTTAGGACCTACGGGATCATTTGTGGTTTGTTTTGGTGAGTTTGCAACCCTTACAACTTAAACTTTGTTCCGCCTTATTTATGAGTTGAGAGTTGGTAAATGTAACACACCCGTCCCGCGTAGCTAAAGACAGATGATGTCACAATTGGTTTTAAAAAACTACAATACACGCATTATATAAAACAGAGCAACTAGCATAATTTACCAAAAGATAATTACATAACCATTAACGGAGATAGCGTGTCTCAAATTACAATTATATATACATTAGTCATCAAAAAGTTTAACAAAAGTATGTCATAGGGGGTTATCTTTAGTATTGTCATCTTTGTAGCTCTCATCCCAAAATTCTTGCTAAGTCATGTACTTACCAAGGACAAGAAAATCTCGGTTGGGCTCAATGAACGGATAATAATAACTAAACAATGAATATGAGATAACAAGTACAAAAGAAATACATAACATTAGGTGACAATCCAAAAGAAAGTCAAACTTCCTCGAAGGCATGTCAAGGGTCCGAAGACTAAACAACATCTCGAGGACACGTTCCCAAAGAATGATCCATCCGTTCGGACATGAGTGAGGAAAGGGGTGCGAGCATGACACAACAATCCTCTCCGTGGATTTAACCATAGCCACAATTTATTATCTGATAACGGTTCATATGATCGATCCATACGCCCTCTAGTTAACCGGTATCTATTCAAGTCCACTTTTTAAGGAGTATGTATAAGTAAGACCGACATGATAGTTTTAGCCACCATGGAAGCATCTCAATACTGGTGCCCCCAATATTAAATCTATAGTAAAATAGTTCACAACCGATGCGATCTAACAAGTCAAGTGATCAAAGGGATCCATGTTCCAAATAAGAATGTACATCATATTTCGAAAGAAAGCAGAAACTCAATAGCATTTGATAAGCACAACGATAATTTGGAACCAATGTATTCGGAATTTATCATAGGTTATTCGGATTAGAAAACCTTATACAAATGGCTATCCCCGTGTCAAGTGACGTAGAATATCCGTACCTTAACCAATTTTGATAATTAACGCCGGATCAAAAATAATTCATGCTGAAGTCTGACTTGTACGTGTCCCTAACAAATGCATAAAAATGTTATTATTTGCAAGACATAAAACCATAACATAATTCTTCTAATAAAGTTACTTAGGTCTTAATGAACTTAAACAACATAGACATCAAGAAGTACAGTCAGATATGAATTGAGAACTTCAACGTAACACTTAGCCTTATGCACTTTCGTTCCAACAACTTTTGTCCCTCTTTCTTTTGAGCATTTTCACCCTACTTAGAGGCCAATCCAAATTATATTATCTAAATGAAAGTTGTAGCATGGTAACATGTGAGTCTATTAGTTTTGAAATCATCTTATTTTGATCATCCATCTATTTTATATGAATTTTACAAAACAGCAGCTATGATTCTCGTGTACACAGTGAACAGCCCTAAAAACACACTGTTTTGAGTCATTTAGAGCCACAATTGGGTTTTAGATCCTTCATAACAGTTGTGGTATATAGTAAGGGTTTCTACCTACAAAATGTGTGTTTATTCCGACTTATGGTTTATGAGTTATGCACTGTTAAACTACTAGACTTGAAGTTGTCCGTAATTCCGATTTCCATATTTTTCCCAACTCACTTTTAGTATCCAAACTTCAATGATTTGCAACACTTAAATGCTCCAAACATATCTTAACATACTAAACATTAAAACAAAGTTCAATGGTCATTATCCTAAACTTAATCATGCAATTTTGTTCTCTTAGGCATTTAATCGAACATTTAGTGTGCGATTTAACTTATACACACACCTGAATTATATTGAATCCATAATTTACCCTTTTTCTTTCTACATCAATTTTAACTAATACAATCATTCCAAAATATGTATTTAACCATAAATTGTAAATACTAATTCATATATAAATCATATACACAGTTATAAATCAACCTCAAAATTATCCTAACATAGAAACCCTAACAAAAACAAAAGAAATTTATACCTTTAGGGAGAGTTCGAATAGTGGATTCCGAATATATGATTATTTCTTCGATTCCCTTAGTAAATTGAGAGAATTTGTAGAGAAAATGAGAGTTTAGAAAGAGAGAGAATAGGATGATGAATGCAATTTACTCTTATGATATTTCTCTTTTTTTTCTTTTTTTTATACATACTAGAAGGGTACTCGCGCAATGCAGTGAAATACATCTTGATTTTAATATTTTATTTTTTTCTTTATCTCAGTCGATGTTATAATATGGTTTTATGTGATTTTGAGAAAACGATGATGTTTTTATTTTTGAATAAAATATAAGTTTGAAAATATCATAAAAATTTGACAAAAATATATCGATATTAGTATCAAATTAACTAATTAAAATTCCTCATTTTTTTGTGTAATTTTTTAATTCATTTTTTTATAATTTAATTTAGATACAATAACAAAGTAATTTATATTGGGTTTAATAATATAATTTTCTTATAAAGATAATAATTATTTATTTTATTAGAACTCGATAATTATTCTAATTATATTTTAGATTTTTTTTATTTTAAAATGAGATGTCTATTTGATTATGTTTATCCGCAGTTAGTTATACTAATTCAAACATTGAGCTTTAATAAATTGTAGTTATGCATAATTTACTTGTAATCTTGAATTTTAAGTAATATGCATTAATATACAGTACTTTATACATAACAAAAATATATTGATGTTCGTATCAAATTAACTATTTAAAATTCCTCATTTTTTGTGTAATTTTTTAATTCA